CCACCTGGTCATTGTGCAAGGCGACCTGAATTTTGGCCCCGACGAAGCCCTCGTGCTCCATCGCCCGCTGCCTTCGCGTGCTTCTGATCCTCGGAATCATCGTGCCCAAGCTGCCCGTTGGCTACGCTCTCTGGGGGCGCTCCTTGAAGTCTCATCGTCGGCGGCTACTCACTATACGAAGCACACCAACTCTGTCAGTTGCATCGACAGGTTCTTTTGTTCGCTACCAGGATGGATGCTATGCCAGGTTCATGCTGAATCCACCACGGTCGGTGAGCCAGAGGCGTTGTCCCGTGCTCAAATTTCTGATCATGCCGCGCTGGTGACAACGTTGCGCCAGCGACATCACAGGCCTCGGGGAGAACAAGCTATTCCGCGGCACATCTTCCATGACCCGCTCTTCAAGAAGCGCATCGAGGGGATGGTTGCTGATGGCCAGAACGCTATTGCTGCACATGCTGGCTCTATTTATCAGGAGCATTTCAAAGAGATGCTCAAAGAGGCTGCGCGGGAGGTGCGCGACATGCTCCTCACGCTGAAGGCGGAGAGTGATGAGACGGCGATCATCGTGGCCCGCAGCTGCGCTCGAGCCGTCTGGCGACAGGACGTTCCACTGGCTCGGCGACTTATTTCGACATCGCAGTGGGCATCAGACGCACTGCAAATTGAAGGCTCACAAGTTCGTCTTCGACATGCTGAATCATTTCATTCGTGGCCAGACGGAGTCCACATGCGGCTTCTGGAAAAAGAATTGCAAGCCAATGCCGATCATGCCGCTGGTCTCTCTGCCTCTCACCGTCCCCTCTCCACCCGCCGTCGTCAGCAGCTATTGGAACGGAAGGCGGCCATCTGGGCCCCTTTCTCTCGCCGGCTCATCTTGCAGACGGTTCGGTCCGGGCCCGTCCTATCACACTCGCCTGAAGATCGGTTTCAAGCTTTGAGTACCTACTGGCGCCCTGCATTCTCCCGAGGCTCTGTCCCAGGCCCCCGCATAGAGGCCTACCTCCAGGATCGCCTGAAAGCCCCCATCCAATGCGAAATCCCACCTCCCACTAAAGCTGCTATCCGTCGAGCTGTGCGAGGTGCGCGGCACTCTGCCCCAGGTGTGGACGGCATCCCCTATGCCGCCTGGAATGCCTCTGATTGCTGCGTCGACGTCTTGTGCAACACCCTCGACTGGGTGCTCGGCGGGGGGACCCTCTTCGATGCCGCGAGTGTCACGTTGCAGGCCTTCTTGCCCAAAGGTTCAGAGGAGGAGGACGAGGCCTCTGGAGGCTGCACGCGGTCAGCTGACAAAATTCGAGTGCTCGGGCTGCGAAACACCGACCTGAAAATCATGACCTCTGTTGTCAATCGCTCGCTCCGTAAAGTGGTGGAGGAGGTGGTCCCCTGCTCGCAAAGGGGGTTTGTGGTCGGCCGCAACTTCGGATACAATGTGATTGAACTCGACGGCGTAGGAAGGCTTGCCGCAGCTCACCCTCGCTCTGACCTGTGCGACCCCCTCCTGATCTCGTTTGATTATGGCCAGGCGTTCCCCAGTCTCTCCCAAGAGTATCTGCTGATGTTGATGAATAAGCTCGGGCTCCCTGGGCCCCTCATGTGGTTCCTCTCGTGGCTGTACCTTGCTATTCAAGGAGTCGTGGCCCATGCTGGCCAGCTTATCCCTATATGCTGGCTGCGGTCTGGGATTATTCAAGGATGTGGGCTCTCAGGGAGCCTCTACGCCCTCGGCACGGCCCCCTTTCTCTGTGCGCTGGAGGATACCCTGGAGACTCCTGGATATGGTATTGCTCGAGCGTGTGCTGATGATATAGGGGCGGTGGTGTATGAAGCAAGGCACCTTCAGGTGCTGTATGATGTGATGGTGGTCACGGAGTGTCTCACAGGGCTGAAGCTTAAGCCCATGAAGTGCAAAATCGTCCCGCTCAAGGGGGAGTTCACCGAGTCCCTCCAGCTCCACACTATGTCTCTCGTGGAGTGCCTCGTCCCTGCCTGGCACGCCTTCGAAGTGGCCTCCCACGTCCTCTACCTGGGCCTCCTGCTGGGCCCCGCCGTCACTGTTGACATGCAGTGGCTCGCACCGCTGCAGAAGCTCAAATTACGGGCCCGTCTGCTTGGGTCTGGGGCTGCCCCCGCGAGTATCAACGGTGTACTGTACTCGTCCAGGGTGTTCTCAGTGGTCTCCTATGTGGCCCAATTTGTTCCGCTCCCTCAACGACACGCTGCTCTGGAACTGGGGATTCTTGCGCAGGTCTTCAGAGCCCCTCTCGGTATGCTCACTTCGGCTGGCTGGGCCCAAATTGGCGAATGGGGAGGCCCTCATGTCCCTCTGCTGCTTCATTCGTGCGCTGCTGCCTATGCTCGAGCTGCATTAGTCACGTTCTCTAATCACACTACCATTCTTGATCGCTTCCGACAACTGGAGTCTGAATGGAGATATTCACTCATGGAGGGCCGATATGATGATGCGCCACTGGCGGCGATTCGAACGCGTGGAGATGCACTTGACCATATTGGCACGCACTGGCAATCCCCGTCGTTCCTGCTGGGATATGCATCGGTTCTCCAATCAGGCAGAGAGGCGGCTTACCCTCCCGAGATCAATAACACGTGCGTGCAGGCCATCGCCCAGGAGCTCCAGGTCACCGATAGGAAGCCCAAGCCTCAACGTGCAGCCACACGTGCTCTTCGGGAGATGCTAGTGACGCCCTTCCCACTTGCTTCGTTGGTGCAGCGACGTCTTCTGAAATATGTACATGAATGGGAGCCGTTTCTTGATCGTGTGGCGTGGACAGAGATTGGTGGACTTCTCTCGCTGGTTCCCATGAGCTGGGCCATGCCAGTCATAAAAACTTACTGCTCTGGATGGCTTACCTCTTCGCGCATAAAGTATGCTGGAGGCTCCCGCTCATGTATCTTCGGTTGCCGTGCGCATGCCGATCGACAGTACCATTACATGCGATGCCGTCCGCTGTGGACAGCTGTGTACCAAGCGCTGGGATATGAGATGCATCCGCTCCTTCCTGACCGCCTGGGGCTCCGGCTCCCTGGCCTCGCGCATGTTGAAACCTTGGCGGTTGCCTTCAACATCTACCACAATATGCGCTTTCGTTTGTACGTCACCGCCAATGACCTTCGATCAAGTGCGAGAGCTGCAGTCAGAAACCTAAGGTTGGCCAAGCCTGATGCTCAATTGCAAAAGAAATGGCAGCCTCCTGAGGCACTGATCCTCCGCCGCCTTCCACAACCCACGACGACCTCTTCGACCTCATCTAGCGACGTCGAGGACGAAGGGCTGCATCCCGATCAACCTGGAGATCCCTATGACGGTGATGGAGTGGCCGCTGGCAGTCATGGACATACCTCGCTGAGCCAGACCTCGGACAGCAAGCCCTGCGACGACACTGATGAAGAATGGTGCTCTGGACCTGGCATGGGCAGGAATGATAGTCGATCACCGTGTCTCACCCCGCGGCTTGTCCCCACGGTCCACACCGATGACGGCAGTGTCTCTACTCCTTCCACACCTGGTACCCCAGCGACTCTAATTGCGACGCCCTCCAGAGTCGGACACAGCGACGACCTCGACGGCCTCGAACCCTCATCACCGCGGTGGTGGAGTGCTGATAATGTCAGAACGCCAAGTCCTGGCAATGGGTGCTCCTCGAGCCCAGGTGTCCAGGCATCAAGAGTAAATTGCGAGGAGTTGCTGCAGCTGTCTCCTGGAGTTGCGACTGGGGAGGTTAGAACGCGAAGTCCTGGCGACGGGTGCTCCTCGAGCCCGTCGTGTCAGGCATCTAGAGTGAATTGCGAGGAGTGGTCTCACTGGTGGACGGCAATCAGAACGCAAAGTCCTGCGCAGGGGTGCTCCTCGAACCCTATGCCGCAGGCTAGAGTAAATTGCGAGGGGAAGGTCGCTGGCTCTGTGCCGTCTCTGATCGTGCGACGCTCTCGGCAGGGATGTGTTCTGGCGACCACTCCTGTACGTGCTGCTGCTCCCTCGGCGCCCTGTGCTCCAATGGCTTCATGTTCCTCGATGACATTTTCAGGGATTTCTTCGCGCTCCCCTTGTACCCTGATGGCCAGCCCGTCGACTCAGAGTCTATCTCCTCCCTCCCCGTGGTCCGCGTCGTGGACCCCTTCCCGCCCTGAGCTCTCGCCTTTCAGGCCTTCCCGTCGATGCATCTTTTCGACTGCCCCTCTGTCTTCTTTTGCTCCCCCCCCGACCTGGTCTCCCC